ATTTTGAAGGCAATTTTTTAAGCAAATTCCGAGACGTCGAGATCACCGTTTCGAAAAAACATGCTTCCGAGAGGAACACATTTCAATTTTTCTACACCAATGCTGATCGCTCGCATTATAAATATCGTTCGCATAATCCAGCTGTAACTTCCCGAATTTCAAGAATTCGAACATAAGGCTTCCTCGACTTGTTTTCGAGCCCTGAACTCCCCAGGAAAGTGTAACAAACAAACATCGACCCTTTTTAAACGATTCAGGCCAGCGTCCCTGCTCGAACCGCGCCGAGATCCGACGGCCCCCGTCTTCTTCCATTTTCTCCGTCGACGGGCGCCGGAAAATTCGAAGAAAAATCTCGCGTATTCCAGACGTCTCGCTGCACGTCGCGACATTTTTTCCCGATTTTTCCGCCGCGGATCGTCGTCGCTGCAAACCGAAGAAATCGAACTTTCGTCGATCAAATCGAAATTTGAAGCCGCATTATCTCAGATTGCTCGCGTTCGCGCTAGCAAACCTAGATCTGGATCCGGATCTAGACTCGAGGGAGGTTCGCTCCGACCTTCATCACGGTCCCCACGACCTTCCTTCCAATCGGTTTCACGTTTTAATCACGGCGGCCGTCCCGTTGCGGCGCGCGACCGCGTTCGCGCCCGTGAAAGTTTGACGCTGACGGGCTCGGACGCTCGGCAAAAACGAAAGCCCGGTGAAACACTGAAACGTATCCGAAATATATTTCACGGCTCCTGTTCCCGGCGGAACGATATTTCGGGCTCGGTGCCTTGGACGCGGCGCGTTTTCGTAAACAACGTGTCAGAAAAATTCGGCGGTCGATCGCGTTTCGAACGCGGCGAACGGTTATCCGGGCGGACGTGCGGCCACTTTGAAATGCAAATGAATGTATGTGTATCGTGTGCCGCGCGGCGTGATTCGATTTCGCGCTGTTCTGAATCGACTGACCGCCGAAAGATATTTCTGATCCGGGACGAGAGCAGAGGATCCGGAACGACGCGTCCGTTTTATTTATCCCGTTTCACGGTCGTCGTCGTCGTCGTCGCCGTTCGGATCACAGTTCCCGACGGTCGACGGCCGGCCTCCGTCGAGGCCTCCGATTATTACCTATCGCAGACTATCGATTACCGTCTGCAAACGGGTCCAATCGAACAAAATCAATTCCACCCGAGCGTTATCTAGCCGGTCGCGGAACTGGAAACACTCGGACGGCCGCGTCGAATCGGGCAAACTCGCGGGACAAACGCTGTGACGCGCTGTCATCCGCCTGTCGCAATATTTATCGACGAAACGCTCGAATTTTCTCGACCAGCTCCGTCAGCGAGAGCTGAGGAGAGGAAACTCTCGCTCTCGTTGCGTTTAACGCGAAAAGGACCCGCAAAAGGTGGCGAAAAGGCCAGCAATTACGGTGTTTTCTTGCATAATTACATTTCTGCATCGTTTATTTTGCAAATGGTGTAAGTCTATTTTTTTCTTTTCTTTTGTGGATGAGATATTATATAATTTGTGTGATTAATACGGTGTGACCTTCTTTTATTTATAGCTAGTTAATATTTAATATCGTAAAAAGGCCAGCAACTACTGTGTTTTCTAGCATAATTACATTTTTGCGTCGTTTATTTTGCAAATGGTGTAAGTCTATTTTTTCTTTTTTTTGTGGATGAGATATCACATGATTTGTGACTAATTCGATGTGGCCTTTTTTTATTTATAGCTAGTTAATATTTAATATCGTAAAAAGGCCAGCAACTACTGTGTTTTCTAGCATAATTACATTTTTGCGTCGTTTATTTTGCAAATGGTGTAAGTCTATTTTTTCTTTTTTTTGTGGATGAGATATCACATGATTTGTGACTAATTCGATGTGGCCTTTTTTTATTTATAGCTAGTTAATATTTAATATCGTAAAAAGGCCAGCAACTACGGTGTTTTCTAGCATAATTACATTTCTGCACCGTTTATTTTGCAAATGGTGTAAGTCTATTTTTTCTTTTTTTTTGTGGATGAGGTATCACATAATTTGTGATTAATTCGGTGTGACCTTTTTTTATTTATAGCTAGTCAATATTTAATATCGTAAAAATTGCTGATTTTATTTTCAATGTGAAATTGGTCAGTAAAAGAAATTATATAGCGATTAATTATGAAAGCGGCGTAAGTGCAGTTTTTACAGGCGTAGGCGACGTGAACAGAATATTTCTTGTACACACACATACTTGTATTGTTGTGAGATGTTATAAAACCATGTAGAAAAAGAATAATAAATTTATTTTACGCGAAATGAAACGAGAGAATTTCGTTTCGGGGAAAAAATCTACGAAATGCAATTCAGAAACGGGTGAAAAAGAAACATAACGGAGAAGAGGTGAACTGGTTGGAAATATATTGGACGAGATTTTGCATAAATGCATTGTATGTATTTAGTAAAAGTGCACTATTTTATATAAAACATCGATGGAGTATCTTATGATCATCGATGCAACATCTCTTATGTTCAATTTAACAATATATATATAAATATAATAACAAATACCATTCCCATTCTATTTCTTGTTATTATTTATAAACAAAATTATATGTATAAAAATATATGTATTTTGAATGTTATTTAATCTTTCATGATTGAAATGAAATGATTTTTAAAATTGACTAATTATGTAAATCACATAAGTCCATTTACAGCCTGTAAATATATATTATTTTAGCTATAAATTCGCCTAAGAGAAATGTATATGAGCTTGAGAGAAGAAATGGCTTCGAGTGCAAAGGGTTAATTGGCCAATATGCTAGCCTTTAATTTTCTTAAAGCAACGAAAAACAGACCTGCGCCATCTTTAAAATAAATGTTCCATTTATCGAATAACACGTATCAAATTCTTTCACTTTCGTTTAATATCTTGTTTAATGTTTCTGTTATAAAAATGGCGTAACTAAAATTCTTAGGGGGCCACATCGATGAAATCAAGGCCACCTAACGCAGTATTGGAAATATCGAAGGCGCGTTTGCAGAAGGACGACAGGTCAGAGGGGAAAAAGTGGCAGCCGGGTCACGGTATTTCCGACACGGTGTTTGAACGGAGTTCGCAAAAACTTGGAATATTAAACCGTTTTTAAATATATAACGAGCGCACTATTAATATTTAAAGCCCGGAAATGGAACAATCCCGCGTATAAAGCCAGGCCGACTGTAATCACGCTGGAATCCCCGATCAAAAAATTTCATTACAGTTTATGCTCGCGCTTGCGGCCCGTCACAACCGAGTAGACACGCGATTCGAATCGAACTCGAAGCGTTCCTCCAATAAAACGCTGCCGAACGATGCGCGCCCGCCGGATCGCGGTCTCGCCGTCGGATGATTTCATGGAGGCTGCCTGCTGTACAGGGTGTCCCAAAATAATTGTCCTTCCGAGAGAGATGTAATGGATTCCCGAGGTAATTCGAAGCAACTTTTCCCTCAGCGAAAATGCGATCCGCGGCTCCGTTTACGAGTTATTAGCGAAAAACGGTGGCCAATGAGAGATCGCGTACGGCCGGCGCTTCGCCCCCGCGGCCGGTGCCGCGTCGCGTCGGCCGTCTAACGCAGCGGCGGTGGTCGCGAGGGCGTGGCGTCAGCCGCGCGCGATCTCTCATTGGCCGCCGTTTTTCGCTAATAACTCGTAAACGAAGCCGCGGATCGCATTTTCGCAAAGGAAAAAGTTGCTCCAAACGACCCGAGGAATCTCTCTCGTTTCCCGCTCGTACGATAATTTTGGTGCATCCTGTATTTATCGCAGCGGCGCGTGTACGAGAGCGTGAATCGAGTATCGCGATAATGTCGCGTCGATGGAAACATATACGAGCGAACATATGATAGCGGTGTGGCCGCGGTTTACCCGTCACCGGCAGTCATCGACGCGAAAAACGAGTCTGGCGAATTCGCGGGAGCCGCGAAGGCGGGCCGGATTCGCACCTGTTCGCGCGAAATTCGCGCGTTCGTGGGCTGCTCGTTTCACGATGGGCATTTCAACGAAGACTGTCGGGCGTAGGGCGCGCCGGAAACGGCGGTCGCCCGACGGAAAGGGGGCGGGAATCGGGCGCGGAACGGGGGGACGAGAAAGGGATAAACGATGGCCCGCGGCTGCTGGATCCTGGCACGCGGATCAACGCCGATTCCCACACGGATGCCCACCGTCGACTCGCATACCGACTCGCATATTTTCGGCGATGAGAGACATTCCTCGCCGAATTTCGACGTCACTGTCCCGCAATTCTCAGCCACGCCGAAATATTGTTTCCCGCTGGATCCGTCACCGCGGCTTCTGATCGATCGATCCGCGGATACGCCGACTTCCCCCTGCGGAACTGACACGATTTTTCTCTTCTACGCCAATTCCTCATGGCAATATTGTCCGAGCAACGTGACCGCTGAGGGGCCGAGCGGAATCAAATATACTGCCGGAATGACCAAGAACAAACGAGCATCCCGATGACAGTTATTAAATTAAGGCGCCGAATTATGTGATTGACTTGACATAATTATACTATATAATGTTATTAGATTTTTATGTAATAATTATATTATATTATGTTATTAGATTATTGTATAATAATTATATTGTATAATATTATTAGATTATTATGTAATAATTATATTATATAATATTATTAGATTATTATGTAATAATTATATTATATAATATTATTAGATTATTATATAATAATTATATTATACAATGTTATTAGATTATTATATAATAATTATATTATACAATATTATTAAATTATTACATAATAATTGTAATATATAATTATCTAAACTATATAATAATTTTATATTATCGTTAGTGTGTTTGATAAATTGCTGGAATGCTGTAATCTCGTCCACAATCAATTTTTTTACATTCATACAATGCAACAAGTTGTTTGGAAATTTTTATTTGGCATTAGGTTCACGGAACTCGTCAAAATGGCGGGTCGTTGATTTTTTTATTTACGATCATTCGAATTCTACAGATACATTTACGAGTTATTTATTCAATATATGTATATGCTGTTATTCGACGTATGTGTTACAAGTAACGCATTAAAAGAGCTTGTTGCGAATATTACAATGACGTTCGTTAAAAATCGGAATAGACGTCTTATTGTTGTTACTTTTATAAACTGATATGAAACGGCTGCTTTTGGAGCTGCCGTGATAGCTCCGTGGAGCTCGGGATCTTTATCGAGCCTCTTGTATAATTACAGCCAGTCCAGGCGTTCATTAGCAACCGCTGAAATATCGAAGTAACAACAGCTGACTCAAAGCGAACCTTTTAATATACGTTTTATCGCGGGGTCGAGCTAAAGACCCGACGCACGGCGACTAATTCCAGCGATTGAGCCAAGCATAATTGAAATACAGATACATTCTGGTATTACGGTGCACAGGGTGTCCCAAAATGATGCTACTTCCGGCATATAATAAGAGCGATGTACAAAGAGCATTTAATACGAAGCGGATGAGACGATATCGCAGGGAAATTGAGCTAAACTGAATTAGAAATAATGATTTTAATTATACAGAGTGTCGATAGAATGTCTCGCAATCAGGACATAGGGGTTCCCGAGGTCATTCGAAGTAACTTTTTCCTTAGCGAAAATGCGATCCGCGGCTTCGTTTACGAGTTATCAACGAAAAACACTGGCCAATGAGACGCGAGATCAGCGTGGCCCGAGCCAATGAACGGAATTAGGCTCCGCGCGCTCGTTGGCTCGGCCCGCCTCGCGGCAGCCGAGCACACTTCTCATTGGTCTGTGCGTTTTTCGTTGATAACTCGTGAACGAAGCATCGCAGAACATTTTTGTAAAGGAAAAAGTTACTTCGAACGACCTTGGGAACCCTTCTAGACATTTTTGGGACACTCTGTGCCATTGAAAAAGTAACGTTTGTCATACTTTTCTCACGTTAAAATTTACACAATTCTCCAGAAACGCCGGACTGCATTTTCGTTAAGGAAAAAGTTGTTTCTCGGAAGTAATATAATTTTGGACACCCTGTGTACAGGGCTGAGAACAATAATAACACAGCATACATATATCGAATAATGCGCTGATTATCGATCCCTCGGGACCGCTCTTCTCTTTGTAATTAGCTTTTCCATTTTTGCATAAGAAAGGACTGTTGCATGCCTCCATTCATATTCAAAGCCTATTAATAAATAAAGTGTTCGGCGTGGTATGCCGTAAACGCACTTAATTATACACACATATACACGGACACAAAAAGAAGATACTAGGTCAGAAGGAATGTCTGTGTTCCGGAGGATACACAGTTTCCGGTGCAAATGGTCGAATGTTCCGTAATTTGTTCGCTGCGCAGCGTTGCGTTCAGATATCGCGTCGTTTCGATCGCATTTAGATAATCGAAAGAATTCGATCGCACCCGTCGCCATAATCGATCGGGAAGGTCGCATGGCCGGCCACCAATTGTTTGCTTTCAATCGCGATTCAATTAACCCACTCGCCGTACTTTGACGGGTTCGACTCGCGATGAAATTTTTTTTTTAGCAATAACTTATTAAATACAGATGTCACTCGGTCCGGTAAAATTGGAATAAAATCCTGATCTCTTGTCGTCGATATTTAACCCTTTGCACTCGAGCGGCGAGTCCGAGGCGCCGCTGAAAATTGTTCTACCATTTTTCGAAATATTTGTAACAGCGCCAGATTTGTTTTGTATTTTTAAAAAACTGTTGCAACTGTAAGTACTGTACTTTCGAATAGGGGCTCGATTTCATACGTATACAGCGCATTGAATCATATAAAATGTAAATAATAAAATAATTGTAGATCAGAAAACATCTTCTGGATTTCGAATTAAAATAGGGTTAAGCAATTATCAAGTAAGATTAAGCAAGCAAACAAAGGGTTAAGCATTCGAGTGAATTCGGGCAGACGGTAAAGATCGATTTTCTTCATCTTCTAAAAAGTTATCGAAAAATAAAGATCGATTTTCTTCGCCTCTTAAAAAATTATCGGAAAATAAAGATCGATTTTCTTCGCCTCCTAAAAAATTATCGGAAAATAAAGACCGATTTTCTTCGCCTCCTAAAAAATTATCGGAAAATAAAGATCGATCTGCTTCAGCTTCTAAAAAGTTATCGAAAAATAAAGATCGATTTCCTTCACCTCCTAAAAAATTATTGAAAACTAAATACCGATTTTCTTCGCCTCCTAAAAAATTATCGAAAACTAAAGATCGATTTTTTTCAGCTTCTAAAAAATTATCGAAAAATAAAGATCGATTTCCTTCACCTCCTAAAAAATTATTGAAAACTAAATACCGATTTTCTTCGCCTCCTAAAAAATTATCGAAAACTAAAGATCGATTTTTTTCAGCTTCTAAAAAATTATCGAAAAATAAAGATCGATTTCCTTCACCTCCTAAAAAATTATTGAAAACTAAATACCGATTTTCTTCGCCTCCTAAAAAATTATCGAAAACTAAAGATCGATTTTTTTCAGCTTCTAAAAAATTATCGAAAAATAAAGATCGATTTTCTTCGCCTCCTAAAAAATTATCGAAAACTAAAGATCGATTTTCTTCAGCTTCTAAAAAATTATCGGAAAATAAAGATCGATTTCCTTCGCCTCCTAAAAAATTATCGAAAACTAAATACCGATTTTCTTCGCCTCCTAAAAAATTATCGAAAACTAAAGATCGATTTTCTTCAGCTTCTAAAAAATTATCGGAAAATAAAGATCGATTTCCTTCGCCTCCTAAAAAATTATCGAAAACTAAATACCGATTTTCTTCGCCTCCTAAAAAATTATCGAAAACTAAAGATCGATTTTCTTCAGCTTCTAAAAAATTATCGGAAAATAAAGATCGATTTCCTTCGCCTCCTAAAAAATTATCGAAAACTAAATACCGATTTTCTTCGCCTCCTAAAAAATTATCGAAAACTAAAGATCGATTTTCTTCAGCTTCTAAAAAATTATCGGAAAATAAAGATCGATTTCCTTCGCCTCCTAAAAAATTATCGAAAACTAAATACCGATTTTCTTCGCCTCCTAAAAAATTATCGAAAACTAAAGATCGATTTTCTTCAGCTTCTAAAAAATTATCGGAAAATAAAGATCGATTTCCTTCGCCTCCTAAAAAATGATCGAAATATAAATACCGATTTTCTTCGCCTCCTAAAAAATTATCGAAAAATTCAAAGCAATCGAAAAATTTCTAATCGCATCAACAGCGAAGAGAATGATTATGTCAATGGGTCGAGACTCTTATTATACTTGCCGCAATGATTTCGGACGCTCCGGTCATTTCGCCTGTCACGGGACGGCGACGGTTCGCACCACCGAAAACAGCGGAACTGTTTTGGCAATCAACGGTTAACGCGATTCGCACGCATTAAACGTCCAATTGAGTCGCGGAACGCGAACGAGCTCGCGCGCGCGCGAGCGCGCCGCATTCCGCGGTGCTAAAAACTCGATAGAGTCGGCCGTGGTAGCCAATTAAATAAATAGTCGATGGAGCCAAATATTGCCAGTTGCTATCGGCAAGCAATCGCGCCCGGACCGAATTCGAATTAACGTTAATGGAAAGCAAACGGCGCGGCGGGACAAGCGAGAGCGGACGGACGTTCCGATCAAAAACTAGTCGGGCCGCCGCGATATACCGAAAATTGACAGAAGCGTGGCAGCCGACAGAGTATTGTCGTATACCGAATACAACAATTGGCTGTCATCGTGATAGGGGGCGTCGATACGCGTCGGACTTTTTAAACTCGATAAAACACTTCCGTTCGCCGCGCGCGGAAACTTTCCGAGGTCGCCCGCGTTTGCAAACCCCATTGAATTTCTTTCTTTCGCGTATGAAAATTTTGCGAGATCGTTGCGCGTCGAAAAACGCGATAAATTCTCTTTCAATTTTATTTGGTTAATGTCGCTGCGAATTCGTGGCAATTTACGCACACTTCTGGGATCACTGTTGTTACGTTAGCAGTGTTACATTTATAGTGTAATGTGTAAAATAGTTTTGCGTTAAATTTTTACATCATTTTCTTAATATATAATATAATTATTATTAATCAATTTTATATTTATTATTATTATTATATTATTATATTATATTACATATTATTTATATATATTATTATATTATATTATATTATTATTATTATGATATTATTATATATTATATATATATATATCATATTATTAACATGATATATAATATATAATAAATATAATAATATAATAATAATAATAATATATATATATATATGATACAATTTCCCAAAACAATTTGGTTTCCTCTAAGTGCGACACATAACTTTCGCCGTTCGTTTCTAATTGTCCAAACGTTCTTCGATGGGGAGGAGGGGGATTTTTGGTAATTTTCACCCTTTTCCAGCAATTTTCACCCTTTTTTTTTATTGGTTGCTTTAACAGTAAGCCCAGCGTTACAATCGTTACAAAGTGCTATACGATAAAATTTCTTCGTCGCGAAAATCACAGTCGCGTTCACGAACACGGCGAAATTCGCACAATTTGCGAACACGTGTTTTCAAATACGTACGCAGTCGGTGCTGCTTTTGATGTTTCCGCGACTAATTCGATCGCGCGAATTCGTAACGCGAAACTATGAAAGCTCCCCGCGGTGTCGGATGCCCGTCGAAAACCGCGGGCATTAAACGTATCGGGATATATATATGTAAATAAAATATTGAAAATGCAAACGTTGCGGGTCGACGATTTTTCAGCGGCCTTCTCGAGGATTACATGTTCGGTGATACGGGCGCAATTAATGGCGCGTGCAAAATTCCCGCGAATATCGGATTCTGCCGAATGAACTGGTCGCCGCGTAAATGATACAACCGTTCGTTCGTTTCGAGGGGTTCGCGCACGAAATTATGACACTTCGATTCATCTCCGCGCCATGTCCAAGATCGAAATACAAGTTTTTGTTCGGGCTCGGTTGTTCAAATAGGGAACAACAGCTGTAGGTGAAAATATGTGTTTTCTCTCTTTCGGCAGTTTGGAAAAGAGATGAACGCGGCGCGACGTTCACGGCCGTCGATTTTAAGCAATATTTCTCAGATAATGAATGGCCACGGTGTTTTCTAGGTCGAACGTGTTCCGAAACTGTTTTCCATCCGTGTTTGGCCGTATTTCAAGGCGGCTTAATTTTTTGTTTATTCATTTATCGATTATATGCGACAAGTTACCCGTTAGTTGTGGGATTATAAAAGAAAAGAGACGAAAGTTAAAGTGAAAAGAAAAATGAATGACAAAGAAAAAAAGGTAATTCCTTAAAAATGCCATTCAATCTTGAATTCTGTGTCGAAGAGTTTAGTGAAATCTGCATATATATGCATTTTATGNAAAACGCGATATATATATCCCATCGAAGATGGCTTGCTTTCGATTACTATTAACCCTTTGCACTCGAGCGGCGATTCAGAGGTACCGCTTTCATTTGTTATATATATATATATATATATATATATATATATTAATTAATTAATATTATTATTAATATTTATTGTCTTAATATTTAATAGTTCAATTTTATATTAATATCAATACTATTAATATTAATTGTATTATTTTATTCTATTAATAAATTTATATTAATGCTAACTGTACTATTATTTAATAGTTTAACTTCATATTAATATCAATACTATCAATATTAACTGTATTATTTTATTGTATTAATAAATTTATATTAATGCTAACTGTACTATTATTTAACAGTTTAATTTTATATTAATATCAATACTATCAATATTAACTGTATTATTTTATTGTATTAATAAATTTATATTAATGCTAACTGTACTATTATTTAACAGTTTAATTTTATATTAATATCAATACTATCAATATTAACTGTATTATTTTATTGTATTAATAAATTTATATTAATGCTAACTGTACTATTATTTAACAGTTTAATTTTATATTAATATCAATACTATCAATATTAACTGTATTATTTTACTGTATTAACAAATTTATATTAACATTATCAATATTAACTGTATAATATCTTTGCACAACATTAATATTAATATTATTGTATTACTATTATCACATAATTCCCCGCGATTTGTTGCTCATATCCCAAAAAAAAGAGCGAACACAGAAGAAAAATTTCGTTCAAAAATTTCAACCAAAAATCACCCATCATTATCGTCACAAATTAACATAATAATCTTATCCCGGACTCCGAGAACTACTTTCAACGCTCTCAAAACGCGTCCCAATTACCCCCTCCCCCCCTCAAAAATACTTCTCCCTCAAAAAAAAAAATAAATTCGAAGGCGATCGAAAGTAAATTAATTCGCGACGATTCGACTGTTGCCGGCCGCTGAAGATCGCGAGATTCGCGTCCGCCTCGTCGGAGATTTGCAAGTACAGACGCGGGACGAGATAAACTGGCGCGCGCGGAAGACAGTCGTTAAAAGATTGAATCGCACGGCGAGGACCCGGGAACAAAGGAAATCTCTGTGCCGTCGATGTCCCGGCGTCGGCCGAGGAACCGAACGGGACAACTCGCCCCCGCAGCGTCATTGTTTCCCGCGGCGAGGGACGAGGCACCGGCTGGGGTGGGTTCAGGGGGTTGGCTCTCTAGGGTAGGAGAACGCGTGCACGTCGAAAGAGTGGCTTGGAAAGCCGTGTGGGACGGCGGGGGGTGGGTGGGGGTGAGTTTTCCACCACCGGGCGACCGGTGGCAGCGTTACCGCCGCCAACAGCGCCGACCCAGTCCGTGTCTCGGATATAAAGTGGTCGCGTGCTTGCAAGCTCAGTCACTCTGTCCCGTGGAGGCACCGATCCTTGCAGGCCGCCAGCGAAAAACAACCCCCGGATCCCTGGATCGCACACCCCCGTCGCTCCTTCGTCACCTTACACGAGGTATTTTCTTCCCTTTTTTTATCTCGCCGCGCACCGAAAAGCGCGCGCCCTCGATCTCGCTTTCGTCTCCCTTCGCTCGACACCCCCCGCCGCCGCCCGGGTCTTCCATGATCTATGGTTTTCGCGAATTAACCGTCATCGATCATCCGAACGGGATCGCGGGTCGCTTCTTAACTTAGTAGTTCGTAGAAAGTGGCGGAAACGGATCGTGCGAGCAGATTTCGGCGAGTTCGAAGGTCGAATTATTTTTTCGTCGATCGTGGTTGAACGGGAAATAGATTGCGGAGCGACGGAGAATTGTTGAACATGTCTGACTTCGAGGGTTGAATTTTATCGTTTCGTTGGTTATTCGAACGAAGCGGGAACGGGAAGTGGATTGCGAAGCGACAGAGAATTGTCAAGAATTTCGGACTTCGGGAAATTTGTCCTATCGTTGGTTATTTGCATGAAGCGGGAACGGGAAGCAGTTTGCAAAACGGTGGAAATGTTTCGAAGGCATTCTGATGCCTTTTGAAGGTATTTTGCTGTCCTTAAAAATTTCAGCGACAACGGAAAGAGGATTGCGAAGCGACAGAAAGTTGTCAAGAATTTCGAGAGTTCAGGGGTTGCGTAGAAAATTTGTTTTCTCGTTGGTTATTTTAATGAAGCGGGAACGGGAAGCAGTTTGCAAAACGGTAGAAATGTTTCGAAGGAATTCTGATAGATTTCTGTTGCCCTTAAAAATTTCAGCGACAACGGAAAGAGGGTTTTGAAGCAACAGAAGATTGTCAAGGGTTGAATAGAAAATTTGTTCTTTCGTTGATTATTCGATCGAGGCAGGAACAGGAAGCAGATAAAAATGTATTGAAGGAATTCTGATAGATTTTTGCTGCCATTAAAAATTGAAGCGACAACGGAAAGTGGATTGCGAAGCGACAGAAAGTTGTCAAGGGTTGAATAGAAAATTTGTTCTTCCGTTGATTATTCGATCGAAGCAGGAACAGGAAGCAGATAAAAATGTTTTGTAGAAATTCTGATAGATTTTTCCTCCCCTTAAAAGGTTGCAAAGCGATAGAAAATTTTCTACGATTTCTGACGTATTCGCTGGGGGTTGAATAGACAGATTTTTCTTTCATTAATAATTTAAATGAACCGCGGCGACAAGAAGTAGATCGCAAGGGAATAGAAAATGTCGAAGAGTTTTTTAACGAATTCAAGGGTCGAATAGAAAATTTTCATTTCCGTTCGAATTCGAGGGCTGAATAGATGTTCTTTTTCTTTCGTTAACAATTAAAATGAAGCGGTAACGGAAAGCTGATTGCGCAGCGGAAAGGAATTCTGTGTTGGAATATCTGAATTGAAAGAATGATAAAAAAAGATATATCTGAAAATGAAAGGAAAAATTATTTCTGCCCTTAACGCTAGAATTGTCGAACCCTAAACGCGAGTAATAATGTATATCGCTTTATAACAATGCCGGACTAAATATTAAATAATTTATTTATATGATTTATTTGAACTTATATTATAATGTAAATATTATATTATAAATATTGTATATATTATAATATTTACAATATATACAATATTTATAATATAATATATACAATATATAATATTTACAATATATATACAATATTTATAATATAATATTGTATATATTATAAATATTATAATATATACTTCAATAAAGAAGTGTTTTGCAAACATTTTTTCTTAAAAATATTATTATAATATCAGGAACTGTAAAAGGAAAAATCAGAAACCAGTTAGTTTGACTAGTTTGATAGTTCTAGTGTTAATAATTGAAAAGAAATGTGGTGAGAGGAAGTAGATCGCGTAACAGAAACAGAGTTGAAAGGTCGATCGTGGAAAAGTGATTTAACTTCGACAGGAATTCGAAGAGAACATTTTTAAAGACATCTTACGCGACGGCTTTGGTCAAAATAACGTCGAATTAAAATTGTGAAAGCTGTCGTTTGTGCCGTTCCGTGAAAATAGGCTCGATAATATTTAAACAAAGTGACAATTCGCGGAGCGAAAGAAGATTTCGAATTTTAATCAACCGCGTAACACAAATAAGAATTACACAATTCTTAGTGATCTCGACGAGTAGAAAGCAACGTACAGTGGTCCACAAAAGTGTTCGTGTACCATCTAAAAAGCAATAACTACTTTTGAAACTGGACTAAGTGGCTCGAACTTTTTTTCTTAGATGTTAGAGGGACTAGTCTACTAGACGATGACTGAAATGATTTCATATTTTATTTTACTACTACTTGGAATAACAAAATAAAAATAAAAAGCTCTCGTTTTTTAATTCTTTTATCCGAGCCTATAACAAACATTTAAAAAATGCCTCGACGCCCGCAGCTCGACTCTGAGTTAAACAATTTCGATGAAATTGATTAAACAATTCGATCAAAACACGCATGTTACCGAGATCAATAAAAGACATTTTCAAAATTTCCATTATACGCTCAGATAAAAAAGTTAAAATATTTTCAATTGATACTTTCAATATTTTCTTTGTCGCCCAAAGTAGTAGCAAAATTTAAAAAAAGGCATTGTATCCATCGTACAGTAGACTAATCCCTCCATCACCTAAACAAAAATTCAGGTCATTTAGTTGAGTTTTAAAGAAAGTCATTTCGTTTTAGAAGATGTAGGAATAATTTCGTGAACCATTGTACCCCTAAAATCCTGCCGACAATTTCACTCGTTCGTTAACGACGTCCACCAGGCATATTCTCCGACGACTTTTCCCCGAAAAAAAAGAGAAACGTACAGTCCCGTCCGCGACGTAAGGAACGTCCGTCGGAAGTCCAAGTGTCCGCCGCGTCGTCTTCGAATCTGGGTTACACGGTTCCGTTTCGCAAACTTTTCGGATTCGAGCCCGCCATGCGAGCTCCTTTCCTTTTGTCGCACGTTCAAGTGGGGGATCTCTTGGTTCCATTAGAATAGGGGAAGACTTCGCATTGTTTCGGCGGCGCGCGCTGTTGTTTCGCCGAAACGAAACACAAAGGCAAAACGGCCCCGTTTTGCTTGTAGTGCGCGCGCATTTAAATTTCATTTCGAACATAATTCCGCTTCCGGTTTCTTTCTCCCGGTCACTTGGTAACGTCTCGATGCACTTTTTATGCAGTTACACCGCGTTCTAATCTCCGCCGATCAACGGAGAAGTTAACGTCGCGTCGGTCCTTTTAATTTCGTACCGCGAAGCTGGAACCTGTCGGCGAAGCTTATCGGTTGTAATCGACTTATCGAATCGATCGAAGGCAACGATTTAATCTCTTTCGTCTTGAAAGACATTCGCTCGAGTAGACTTTCGGTGAATCGAATCGCAGAAAGGACGCGGGGAGCAACGCGATTAAAATAACGGCGCGATCTTATCGAGTCAATTTTCCGTGACGAACGCGCTCTCTCTCTCTCTCTCTCTCTCTCTCTCTCTCTCTCTCTCCCGATCTGTCCCCGTTAAATTGCGAAGCTCGGCGGAAATCCCGCCGGCACACAAAAACAACGCCGACATCCGTCGATAATCACCGATAAGGGATAAACTCGGCGAATGCAAATTTATCGGGGAACGGACTCGCGCCGCCTACGAGAATGCCGCAGAATGCCGGAGAACTTTAACGGCAATCTCGGCCGCCCTTCTGCTTTTCGCTCTGTTAGTTTTTTTCCCCCCCGCGGATAATCCTCGGCAAACGTGTGCCGGCCGCGTTCGGAATATTGGCCGCCATTTTACCTGTCGTTTTTTGCTTTTGTTTTTCAAGTCGACCGCGCGTGCCGCCGCATAGTTCGCGGCCGTAAAACCTGTTAAAAAATGGAAACCGCGGCGAGCTCACTCTCTCGCGGGCACGGGCGCGCTGTGAAACGTTGCTGAACTTCGCTTGATCCTTTAGAAATGTTTAACGTTTACTGCGTACGGTCACACGATTTCCAGCGCACCGGAAGATATTGTTTGGGAACTCGCGGCGAGACGCGCCATCGGTGACGCTAAATTTTCGCGAATTTTTCTTCGGCTTGTTAACGAGAGTGGAGAACTTGCGAGCAGGAGATGCGATTATTCGAGTCTTGCGGGTCGTTTTTATAGTTGTAATAGTTATAATAATATTGCAATTATAGTGATATTATAGTTATGGTGATTATAATAATATTATAATTATAGTAATATTATGGTTATGGTAATTATAATAATATTATAATTGTAGTAATATTATGGTTGTGGTAATTATAATAATATTATAATTGTAGTAATATTATAGTTATGGTAATTATAATAATATTATAATAATAGCAGTTATTATAGTGATATTATAATAATATTACAATAATAGTTATTATAATAATATAGTTATAATAGTTATAATAGTCTTGACAATCAATAAGTGTAAAAACGAGCCGTGAGATTATTTCTTTTTGTTCACAAGCTGAAGGAGAAAATTGGACAAAATTTACTGTACTTCGATTTGATAATTTCGACGCTTGTCCACTACAGTTTCGCCTATATTTCATATCTAGTTACTATTATTATTGTTGTAGTTGTTACTATTTTTATTATTAATATTCTTGTTGATATCATTATTATTATTAATAATAAAAATATTGTAATAATTATTAATATTGTTGTTGTTATCATTATTATTATTATTCATATTATTGTAATTATTATTAATATTGTTGTCGTTGTCATTATTATTATTATTATTATTATTTACAGTCATAGTTACAGCGGGTCAGATGGCGCAGGTACGCGTCGACACGGTCGTAGATTATTTAAACGGAGCGTGCTCGTGTTCCAGGCAATTAGTCGCAGACCGCAGACTGAAATTGGCTAGCTGGAGGCATTAGGTCGTTACTTTTGAAAAATCGTTTCCTTCGATCCTCCACCGAACGCGTGCCCTTCATAGGAGAACCGACCTCGCGTCGGCAAACAGCATTCGTCGACCGGCTAATTCCTTAATTAATCTGCTAATCGCTCGGCTACTCTCCCGATAAATACCACGCGAATAATCCGCTGAACCGATCTTTACCGAATGATCGGTGAAACTGCAGCCGGTCAGTTCTTTCCCGGGAACAAGGTAACCTTTAACCTGCGTCAAGCGAAACTTTTTTCTCGTCGTTTACGAAATTTGATCCAACAAGCCGTCGCCGACCCCCTCGAAAATTGTTCCACGGAAATCATTCTCGAAAATTTTGTTTTGGTAGCTGTTCCTCGAATGTCATCCTTTGAACATTGTGTCTTGAAAATCATCCCTCGGAAATCGTGCTTCGAAGATCATCCCTCGAAAATCGTTCTTCGAAAATTCTGTTTCGAAAGCTGTTCCACGAAAATCGTTTCTTTAAAGCTGTTCTTCGAACGTCATTCTTCGAATATTGTTTCTCGAAAATCATCCCTCGGAAATCGTTCTTCGAAAACCACCCTCGAAAATTTTCTTTCGAAAGCTGTTCCAGGAAAATCGTTTCTTGAAAGCTGTTCTTCGAACGTCATTCTTTAAATATTGTTTCTCGAAAAATCGTTTTTCGAAGATCATCCCTCGACAATTGTTCGTCAAGAATTATTCTTCGAAAATAGCTCCTCGAGAATCATCCTCGATCGAGAAAATTCGCTCGATCAACAGGCGCCGTGATTTCTTCGCGGGCTACGTTGATTAGCACTTCGTCGTCTTTAACAATTTCTTTTATTAAAGAAAGATCATAAAAACAGTCATCGTTTATGACAATAGCAACGATCTTTGTCCTTCGCACATCTCCGTTCACCTTTTTTCCTAGATTTCCATGACATCGAAGCAAACGTTAGCCTTCAATTTAAAAAACAAAAACAAATGACATTCATATTTAGCGGATCACACCCGAAATCTTCGTGGCGAGTCCGTCGCGTCGTTCCACGGGGGTGGTTAAGGATCCGTGCGACTGTCATCGGAATCGCACGGCGGCGGCGTTTTTCTTAATTACGGTAGCCGCCGGCCAATAATCGCTTAACGAGAACGAACGAGGTCCTAACGCGGCTCGTTATCGCCGTAATTCGTGTTCCGTTGCGGCCCGTCTCGGCGAACAAGATGTTAAGGGCCCTTTATTAATTCGTTTAAACATCGCTGTCCAATAAATTCGAAGCTTCTCCAGCGACATAGTAGAACGATTCGGCGGACGGCTGTCCGGATTCCTTGAAAATCTCGAACGCGAAGTTCAGAAATTTGCCTCGCACGAATCGCAAAAGTTGCTCGGATCCGCGAAACAATTCCGTGGACGCTGCCTAACTCGAGGATGTCAATCTCCGCGTCGGCCGGATCCCGTCGACGCGCGACGGAGTTGATCGAGGATCGGTCGCGGCCACGGAATCAGGGGAGGCTAATCGAGAGAGACGTTACGAAAAGCTTCGGAACGTTGACAGTTCGTTTTATTCGTTTGCCAGCGGCGCGAAAACGACTGCGAGATTTCGTGCCGGATTGACAGCAGTCGCGGACTCGATTTCAGTGGACGAGACCCGGCTGCCGTTGACAGAACGACGGTCCGCGAACGTTCGAAAATCATGAAAATCACCGATCACGCGCGACATCGTACACGGTGTATCAAAATTATAAATTATAATAATTTGTTCCTTGGAAAATAAATGTGGCAAGTGCGATTCATAATTTTTGGGAAATTATGTAGATTTTAACGTGCAAAAGTATAGCGAACACGATACGTTTTCATGTACAGGATTTCCAAAAATCATCTAGAAGGGTTCCTGAGATCATTCGAAGTAACGTTTTCCTTTACGAAAATTTTCTGCGAGGCTTCGTTCACGAGTTATTAACGAAGAAACATTGACCAATGAGAGGCGAAAGAGATCAATTCGAGACAGCCGAGCCAATCAGCGGAACCGGGCCTCGCGCGCTCGTTGCTTCGGCCCGCCTCGCGGCAGCCGAGCTCGCCTCTCATTGGTCGCTGTTCTTTCGTTGATAACTCGTAAACGACGCCTCGGAGACAATTTTTGTAAAGGAAAAAGTTGCTTCGAACGACCTCGGGAACCTCTAATTTCCCGAAAGCACCACAATTGTGGGACACCCTATACAGAAATGATGGAACACGGTGTGCACGTGCGTATTTCCTTGGTGGCCGACCGGACAGTCGCGGGATGTTTACGTCATGGTCCTGATAAAAGAGACCGAAAAGAGGAGTTATTGTTTCGAGAGGGTACTCACGAGTCGAGCTCGACAGCGAACGGACGCCCGCTGAGATTTCCTACGGTATATCACGTTGTACCTTCGTTATTTGTTCTTCCTGCATAAGAGATCGATGGGGTCCGCGATTGGAGTGGATTGCACGATGTGTAACAGAGTCTTGGGAAATGATTGTTGCAGACTTGAAGAGATCATGTCGTCGCTAAGAGTCGCCGTGTTCCTGGCCACGGTTCTGATGATCCTAATCGACTGGTCCGCTGCCCTGCCGGCCCCCGACAAGGAGAGACTCTTGAACGAGGTAGACGTAAGTAGCGAAACGCTTTGCTTGCCAGCCTCCGGTGGAACGGGAACGGGTCGGACGATACGGTAAATTCTGCCTAATTGATGCTCAGATTGTACGCAAAAATAGATCATTTGGGATGGCACGATTATTCGAGCACTGCGGCTCGTTTTTATAGCCGCCGATGGTCGACAACTATAAAAACGTTACAAAGTTATTTATAATTGTATTTCCTCTTCCTAAATTGTCCATTTTTGTGTACAATGTGAGCATGAATTAGGGAGAATTTAGTGTATCATGCTGTTCCTCTTGTGAAAGTGGATAACCTTTTAAAGACAGATAGAGTACATTTAAACTTTAGGTAATGCAAACGCAAATCATAAACAATTTGGTAATTGAATATTTTTTTTCTAATATATCTATCTATAATATAATTTTATATTATTATTATTATAGTAATATAATATACGTAATATAATTATAATATAATTATATATTACTATTATTATTATATTAATATAATATATGTAATATAATTGTAATATAAAAGATAATTACGGTTACGATAAGGCATCTGATCGATTCATAATTCAGCATAGCAAACGATAAAGGCGACGATCGTACAGTATGCGCAGTTGCAATTATGCAGCTCTCCTCTTCCCAAATTGTCCACATTCGTGCACAGTCCGAGCTTCAATTAGGAAGAATTTACTGAATCCCCGTCTTGCCTCGGGCTTTTGGAAAGAATCCTCGACGGATGCTCCGTTCGTACGATTCTATTTCGCTGGGAATTTTAATTAAAGTGTATTCCAATAGCGATTCTACGTACACGACCGTCTACGTATATGATTCTATTTAAACTTACACGCACGGTGGAGTCGCGTTTACACGTTTGAAATGATATTTGAGCAGCGCCACCCTTTATAGGAATTCCAATTAAATCAACGATAAATAACGGTCGCGGAACCGGCCATCGAGAACTTCTAGGTCATAGAAGCTTAACTTAACGTAACTTCGTCCGAATAAATAGCGAATAATAAATCGTTGTAAATTGAACAGAATTCTCGATGATAAATAACAGTGTGTGTACGTATCTTAAAAATCGGGAAGCGTCACCTGTATCCGTTGTTGGACTCCGCCGTGAATAATAGCGCGTGTACTACGTGATTCAGTGGACCAACTTGTCTTCCAACGCGTTCGCATGAAACTTAGCATCGCGCGGTGCCGAAAGAATGCAAGCGCGTCTGGGTAATCCGACACAGGTCGTTGTAACATCGTGCAACAGTTTTCGTCGCGATCTTGTGACAGTTGTATGGCGATCCTGGTCGAATGACGGTTCGACTGAAAAATACGACGGTTAACAACGACGGGCGCAGCACAGAACAAAAAATTAGAAACGAACGGGAATAATGTGGCGCTTGTTAGAGTCCCGTGTGCNCGGCTCGTTTTTATAGCCGCCGATGGTCGACAACTATAAAAACGTTACAAAGTTATTTATAATTGTATTTCCTCTTCCTAAATTGTCCATTTTTGTGTACAATGTGAGCATGAATTAGGGAGAATTTAGTGTATCATGCTGTTCCTCTTGTGAAAGTGGATAACCTTTTAAAGACAGATAGAGTACATTTAAACTTTAGGTAATGCAAACGCAAATCATAAACAATTTGGTAATTGAATATTTTTTTTCTAATATATCTATCTATAATATAATTTTATATTATTATTATTATAGTAATATAATATACGTAATATAATTATAATATAATTATATATTACTATTATTATTATATTAATATAATATATGTAATATAATTGTAATATAAAAGATAATTACGGTTACGATAAGGCATCTGATCGATTCATAATTCAGCATAGCAAACGATAAAGGCGACGATCGTACAGTATGCGCAGTTGCAATTATGCAGCTCTCCTCTTCCCAAATTGTCCACATTCGTGCACAGTCCGAGCTTCAATTAGGAAGAATTTACTGAATCCCCGTCTTGCCTCGGGCTTTTGGAAAGAATCCTCGACGGATGCTCCGTTCGTACGATTCTATTTCGCTGGGAATTTTAATTAAAGTGTATTCCAATAGCGATTCTACGTACACGACCGTCTACGTATATGATTCTATTTAAACTTACACGCACGGTGGAGTCGCGTTTACACGTTTGAAATGATATTTGAGCAGCGCCACCCTTTATAGGAATTCCAATTAAATCAACGATAAATAACGGTCGCGGAACCGGCCATCGAGAACTTCTAGGTCATAGAAGCTTAACTTAACGTAACTTCGTCCGAATAAATAGCGAATAATAAATCGTTGTAAATTGAACAGAATTCTCGATGATAAATAACAGTGTGTGTACGTATCTTAAAAATCGGGAAGCGTCACCTGTATCCGTTGTTGGACTCCGCCGTGAATAATAGCGCGTGTACTACGTGATTCAGTGGACCAACTTGTCTTCCAACGCGTTCGCATGAAACTTAGCATCGCGCGGTGCCGAAAGAATGCAAGCGCGTCTGGGTAATCCGACACAGGTCGTTGTAACATCGTGCAACAGTTTTCGTCGCGATCTTGTGACAGTTGTATGGCGATCCTGGTCGAATGACGGTTCGACTGAAAAATACGACGGTTAACAACGACGGGCGCAGCACAGAACAAAAAATTAGAAACGAACGGGAATAATGTGGCGCTTGTTAGAGTCCCGTGTGCTCTCTTTTTCTCTCTCTCTCTCTCTCTCTCTCTCTCTCTCGAGTGTCGCGAGAGCAACAAATGGGCCTCGTTACCGTCCTCACCCACACCGTTGGCCCCGATTTCATCGCCGAAGAAAACCGGCCGGGCGCGTCTCTTGAACTCGTTTCGATCTTCAGCGGCCTCTGAACGCTCGGATCCGGATCTCTTAAGCCCGCCGATTCCGAAATTTCCTCGGGCCTTAATCGTCGAGTCGCTCCACTTGACACTGCCGGAGACACTTTCGTCGAGACGTTGCGCGCGATTTCTACGACAGAAAACATCCGCGAACGAATACGAGTTTCATACGAGTTCGAGAGCACGAAGAACTACTACGCGTGTCAGTAAACTATACGCGGATACACGTGTTAGTAAACGTTAACGTTTCTCATAACGAGAAAAATGCGACTTGCGCCGCTACGATTCTAACCTGTTCGAACGATCAAAGACGATCGAGCATCGCAGGACCTCGGGGCGAAGTGAAAATAGGCAAAGAAGAGAGTGATCGAGTTTCGAGCTCGGTAAGTTTAGGCATTTTGCTAATTAATAATATAATAATTCGTTTTAGCGTTGCTTTTAGATAAAGCAATCGTTACTTAAAAACAATCGATATATACTGTCACTGTTATCTATCCTCGAGTATTGTTGGTTAACACAGTATGCGGCGCATAGTTTTACCGATATACGCATCTTAACCTATACTGCGCAGTTCTTGACGCGCCGGTTCAAACGTAGAGTACTTATACTTAATTTGCAAAGTGCTATAGTGAGAATATCTTGATCCTAGGAATCGTAGCTTAGATAAAGCAATTATTACTTTGATAACAAAAATCGATATACACTGTCACTGTTATCTATCCTCGAATATTGTTGATTAACACAGTATGCGGCGCATATTTGTACCGATCTACGCATCTTAACCTATACTGCGCAGTTCTCGATGCGCCGGTTCAAACGTAAAGTACTTATACCTAATTTGCAAAGTGCTATAATGAGAATATCTTGATCCTAGGAATCGTAGCTTTGTATGTACGTTCAAAAGAGAATGGATTATGTCAATCTTGACACCCAGTAATCGGAATATCCCGCAGCGATAGGTACATAACCGCGCTGATATATGCACGCGTGTGTGGTTTCTTTACATTACGCTTTTTAATGAAACTCGCGCTTTCGTAGATCCGGTATTTCGAGAAAAGTGAATATTCAAATGAAAGAATAATAGAGAGTTCACCCTCGTCGAGAAGCCGCAGGAATACGTAGTACGCGTCCACCGACCGCGCGCGGAGCCACCGTTGCAATCTCGATAACAGTCATCGGCCACGTGTTCGGTAGTTGTTGCGTCGAACAAACCGAGCCGGGCGCGCGCATGTGTGTGCGCGCGTGTGTCGCAGCTGCAAATTTGCGTCGACACTTATCCGGGACCGGCCGTTTTCCGTGTACGCGCTCGTGTTTCAAGCCCGACGAATTCTATTAAGCGACGACTGGCGGTCGTGTTTTCGGACGGTTCCGGACACATCGCGTGCCGCGCATCAATTCGATCGGCTCCGACGGATATTATTTAGTCGCAATTATAAGTGGGAGAATTCGATGGCGGTACACGCGATTGGCCTCCGTCGGCTCTGTCACATCGCAACGCTTTTGATTGATCGTTAACCGGACGCGGGGGGCGCGCACCGGTTGCATAATTTTCAGGCGGCCGCGTCCGAACGAATACGTTAAAAGTGTCCGTTGCAAAAACCGAACAAACCCGGTCGGTTCGACCGGGGATGGGTAATTACTCTTTTAATTCTCTCGCGCCTCGCGGCGGCCCCTAATTAGCCCGGCGAACCCGCACTTCGGCTCGCGCGCACTTTCGACGCGAAACAACCGAGCGTAAACATTCGTTATGAGCTCCGCGTTTACGCAACGTTGTTTACCCGTCGACCGTATACATTCGTGTCGCGGGGGCATCGCTAAATATTGTTGCGCCCTCGTTTTTTTTTCGCCCCATGCGTCCTGCACGCCGTACGCCGACCGGTGAGTGCCTTCGTCTTTCGTTTTAGTTCGCCGCTTTTTAATGGGTCTTTCGACGTTGGCGACCGATAGCTATTTTTTTCTGAACGAAGCGTGTTTGCGAAATTCGATGAATTTTTATCGCATCTTCTGGCACGGTTGTTCGCGATTCCGCGTGAAATACGATATATGGCCGAACTCTGTTCGCAAACTCTGTTGCCCTTTTTTAGGATTCTCGGCGAAGTGAAAACTGTCTGCGTTAATTACAAGACGCGGGACGTTCGTTTTCTTTTATCAATAATTTTCACGAGTCGGTAGAAAGATAACGGTGTTTGTTGGATACGTGTTTCGCGTTTCAAGCATTTATGGCAAAAATGAATAAGACTAAATATATTATTATTATTATTATATATATATATATAATACAATTATTATGATATAATAATATAGGTAAATAAATATATTATATATAATAATAAATATAGATATATATAAATTATATATTATTGAAGAAAGAAATAAACTTGTGCTCAGATCAATGTATATCCATATGATAAATACAACTCGAAAACATTCGATAGCTATTTATATTCGAAAGAGCGTTTTCATATTATATAATAATAAATAAATATTAAATAAACATAGATATATAGATATATATAAATTACATATTATTGTAGAAAGAAAGAAACCTGTGCTCGGATCAATGTATATCCATATGACAAATGCAACCCGAAAACATTCGGTAGCTATTTACATTCGAAAGATCCTTTTCAAATTATCTTGGTTTCGCGGGTCGACTACGTTCGGCGCGATATCGGTGTCGTTATCGATATCCATTTCTGCAGTTATTACGATTTATATTTCCGACAAGCTCGTGCGCATCATGCAAGAAAGTCGTATTAATTTAATGCGCGTCGCCGTTTCGCATTCGGAACGCGTTGTCCGACATTCGGTGGGAGACTCGCCTCTTCTTCATTACATTTTTTTCAAAATGTTTCGCGAAACGACCGCGCTGCATTTAATTAAACACCGCGACCCGGGGACCTTTATGGAGATATCCGGGCTGCGAAGGCTAATTGATAAAAATGGGAATCGGGGAGGATTTTTCTGCTCCAACGAATGCGTTTGCGATGGAAGAATCGCGGTTTTGCGAAACTGTTGTTTCTCGCATTTCGCGTTCCTAACGTCGCCGCACACGTTTGCCTGAAACGTTGTTCAGACGTTCGGATTTTCAGATTTTTTTTTTAGATATTTTACAGCCTGACAGTGTTCGAGAATGTTGGCGCATTGGTTCAGTTTATGGCGCGTCGTTTAGACAATTTCTGTCTCGCTGCAAATATACTTATTTTACTGCTCCAATTAAAAGTTTCAGTGGAACGTGCACACGCGAATGGTGGATCTTTATGCGAAATAAAAACGGTAATTACACGGAAGCTTCGTTCTTCCTTCTACCGGGTGGCCACTCGATGACCGAGTGACGTAACACAATAATATTTCAGTCTTTCGTTATCCTACTTTGAAACATGATGAATGGACATTTTTCAGTTTTGCGTGCTGAAAAACAACATCCCTCGAATGACCGCCATTTTCTCGCTTCCCTGTAATTTATGACAATTTATAGTCAAAATAAATAGTAGTAGAAACATAAAATAAAAATATACTATATATATATATATTATATAATAATATATATATATAATATATATAATAATAATAATATATATATATAATATATATAATAATAATAATATATATTATATAAAAATATAATATAAATAAATATATATAATATAAAAAAATAATCTTTTGATCATAAATATATATAATTATATAATATATATAATATATATAATTTATGATAATTTATGATCAAAAGTTTTGCCACCCCCGACTTGTACAAAGCCTTCAGTTCTTCAGTGGCCACCCCCTATAACTTCGATACGCTTTAAATTGCGCCGACTCGCTTTTGTTAAAAAAATTCATCAAAAATCAGCCGCCCGCGAAATAAACGTCGGATATTTTCGAAAGCGAGAAATTCCGATAAACAGACGGCTGAATTTAACGAACAAATTGTCCGTGCGCTCTGTACACAATAGACAGCGACGAAAAAATCATTCGCCCGCGATGCTTTCAATCGAACAAAAAAATCGGAACCACTTTTCGAAGTGGTCACTCCGTCAATCGTCTCGAACGTCGCGCCGTCCCCACCCCCCTTCCCATCGGTTTTCGAATCGTTTTGCACTGAATCGGAACTGAATCGCGAATCGATGATGGTGTCGTTGGCTTTGACGCGATCCGCGGTTTAAAACAGCGGCTCGTGGCCGCACGGAAATTAATTTGTCCGATAATTAATTAGCGGATTGGCGGATCCGCGCGCGCGCTCGCGCGAATATGTATGCCGCGCCACGGTTTGTGCGTCACGGAAACGGGAATACGTCTTCCGACTGTTTCCTGCGGAGATTTACCGCTGTACAATTGCGACCGTAGAATTTCCCTGGCGACGAATGCTTCGCCGCATAAGCTCGTCGGATGGCCCGTCGGACGACTCGTCGTCGTCGGAACGACGGCGATTCGCATTGCGGCCACGCGCTCCGCGACAAATGGAAGTCGGCGTGTCCCGTCGGGCTTGCGAATCGCGGGGCCCTTTTAATACAGTGGCTGCCCAGGGCGACAGCCCTCGCAACTCGACATTTCGCCGACCGCCCCCCAACGTCTCGTTTCACCGGCGTGATAACACCCGGGAAATAAAAAGAAACGTTTTTCGGCGCCCGCTGCGCGGAATCGCCTGCGGAATTCGAACGCGGCCCCTCGGATCATAATAATAAAGGGCGACCCTGCATTCGACTTGCAAATCGATCGAGTTCCCGTTGCAGGAATTATAATGCCTTCTAATAGATTACGAAAGCGTGGAGCTTTTTTTTAACGAATTTTCTCGCGTTGCAAGAATTCTTGGAAGCAAAGTTTCAGTCGCGAATGGAATTTCGCGCGGTCGTGGAGCATAGTTGACTTTATCGTTGTCGGGTAGGACGTATGACATCTTTTTTATTGATTTTACTATATTTATTTTATTTGTATTTCATTGTTTCATCGTATTTCGTTCATTTGTTGTATTGTTATCCGTGATTAATTTTAGTTTTTATTATTTTGTTCTGTTCGTTTTTAAATAAGGAAATTCAATCTGTTCTTATTCGATAAATAGAAAGTTAACCGTGCCTGGAATTATTGAAATATAAACGAAACAAAAGAGTGAAGAAATGTAAGCTTTATATATATATATTCTTCATTACATTTCATTCGTTTGTTGTATTACTATCCTTGATTAATTTTGATTTTTATTCCTTTATTCTGTTTGCTTTTAAATAAGAAAATCTGATCTGTTTTATTCGATAATTCCAATATAAAATGAAACAGGAGAGTGAACAAATGTAACTTCTATTTTTCATTATATTTCATTCGTTTATTATATTACTATCCTTGATTAATTTTAATTTGTATTTCTTTATTCTTTTATTGCTTTTAATTAAGAAAACTTGATCTGTCTCATTCGATAATTCAAATATCAAACAAAACAAAAGAGTGAACAAATACAACTTTTATCCTTCATTATATTTCATTCATTTATTATATTACTATCCTTGATTAATTTTGATTTGTATTTCTTTATTCTTTCATTGCTTTTAAGTAAGAAAATTCAATCGGTCTTATTCAATAAATACGTAGAGTCAACTATGCCCGAGAACAATGCAAAAGCACAGCAATATCTCATCCCACAGAAACCGGCACCGCCACCCAAGAATGCATAAGTAATCAATGCTCCTCTGCCACAGATGTTTCGTCCTTTAAAAAAGGGACACTCGGTTGACCTACAGAACTAGGTAACACGTGTCCGCGGAACTTCTATTTCGCCGTGAAAATATCTGTTCCGGGGGAGCGCGTCTTTTTAAAGAAATTCCCATGGGCGACATATCCTCCCGTAAAAATTCCGCGGCCACAGATGTTCTCCCCGGCGAAGAACTCGGAATTTTCTTGCAAACACGGAGAGAGCCACCGTTCCGTTGCGAATATCATCGAATCTGGTGCAACGCGGCGA